AGTAACTAAAAATTGACTTTTCTGGCTCGCAATTTCATATCCCCCAACCAGCATGGTTTTCTGCCTGGGAGGTCCACTACCACTAATTTAGCTGTCTTTTCTAAGCACTGCTTTGAAGCTTTTGAAAACCGATTTCAGGTTGATGCCATTTACACCGACTTCTCCAAAGCCTTCGACAAAGTGTGTCATGCTGCCCTTCTGGCCAAATTATATAAATTAGGTATTCATTCCTGCCTATTAAGTTGGTTCGAGTCTTATCTGGCTGACCGACCTTGCCACGTTATTGTTGGAGACGCTATCTCAAGTCCATTTGTCACCTCCTCTGGTCTTCCACAAGGCAGCTCTCTTGGACCTCTTCTATTTATAATTTTCATTAATGACATCTCGTCATGCTTTCGTCACTCGCACTTTTTAATGTATGCGGATGACCTTAAAATCTATAAAGAGATTAGCTGCATTAGTGACAGTTACTTGTTACAGGAGGATATATCCAGAGTTTACTCATGGTGCTCCCGCAATCTTCTTCCTTTAAACTTATCTAAGTGTTTGTTTACCCGTTACAGTAGGCGGTCTCTTGAAATCTGTACGGGTTATTCCATCAACAATTATAATTTGGCAGCTAAAGAAGAGGTGTTAGACCTTGGTGTCTTATTCGACAGCAAATTTAAATTTTCGGGTCACTTAGACTACATTTTACCTAAAGCGTATGCTATGCTGGGCTTTGTTAAGAGGCACGTGAACCAGTTTAAAAGTCCATACTCGAGCCTCAGCGTCTATGCTGCATTCATTCGGTCGAGGCTGGAATATGCCTCAATCATTTGGAACCCGGAGTGTAAAGTTCGTTCCAATAGAATTGAGCGACTCCAGAAAAAATTTTTAAAATTTGCACTTCTGCCTCTAAGGTTTCAGGATCCTGTTCCTTCATACCAGAGCCGTTGCCTTCTTCTGAACGTTTGCACGTTGGAGGATCGGCGTAAACTGGCAGCGTTAACCTTTTTAAATAATTTAATCGTTAATAACATTGATTGTCCTTTTTTGTTGGGACTCGTTAATTTTAATGTTCCTCAAAGGGATCTTCGTACCTTTGCCCCCTTTCGGGTCAAATGTCATAGGGCCAATTATTTCTTAAATGAGCCGATAGAGCGGGCTCTTTCTTATTTTAATTCTTTGCCGCCTAGCCTCCGAACTGAGTGGGGCTCAGATAAGGGTGTGTTAAAACACAAGTTATTAAGGCATTTATTAAGTTTTTGTTAATTTTGTAGTTTTATTTATTAGGTGTAAGTTGTTATGTTATGTAGCCATGTAAGGATTTGTCCATTGGCGAAATAAATAAATAAATAAATAAATAAATAAATAAATATCTATAGTCTCTACCTTTCCAAGAACCAACCTTTTAATAAATCATTTTTTTTTTTTACACATTTTTTAGTGCCTCTCCCCCCAGTCATTGGTCAACGAACTGAATAAAAGTTTAAACCGCTTATTAAATATTAACAGACTCTGGTTTATTTATGGCTTTTGAATCAAACTTTTAGTTGTGATTTATTTAAATTCGTCTATTTCTACGAAAAGTGTTTACGTTTTGGCAAATTATATTGTTTCATTTTAGTATTTGTTTTTAGAGTCCTTATTTTTTTATTTTTAAGAGGATTCTAGTTTAAAATTCTGAGAAAGAAAAAAATTCCACTTGAAAGTAAATGAAATTCAGTGGCAAGTCAGAATTATTCTCAGCCACCATTCAACAGTTGGTCTTGTTGCCTTGGGTTCGATTCGTTTTTTGTGGGTTGTTTTTTTTTAGGAGGGTGGTGGGGTGGTTGGGTGGTTGGAGGCTAGCGGTTGGAGGGTGGGAATTGGCGAGGGTTTTGGGACAAGGCCGCGGTGGTTTCTGTTTGCGTTTGCGTTTTGTCAGCCGTGACAGCGACGGCAATTGCGCCACCTGCGGCTCCATATTGACACTTGTGTGTGTGTGTGTGTGTTATGCTGTGTCTGTGTATAGGTATGTGTGTGAGGGGGGGAGGGAGTCTTGTATGTGGCAGAGTATACCCTTGTTTGTTTATGAGCCCTAATCAAATTGCTCATAATTAGATGCAACAAAGTTGAATCTTTTGAAGCGTTTTCCGACGTTTTCTCGGCCTCTCCCTCCCATACTCGTCCTTTCTGCTTTGGCTTCTCCATTTTCATTCCAAGGATGTTGGGGATGGTCCGCCCACCCATCACACCTCCTCATGGCCCGAAAAAGGACTTCCTGTCGTGTCGGAATCGTCGGCATACCAGAAACGCACGAACGGATACGCCACGTTAGCTGTTTGGAATTTTTTTTCGGACAAAAAGGACCAAAAGTCTAAGCGATTCCAGGAGGTCCTTTCGAAGGATAACACAAGAGATATAAGGCAGAACTACTTAATTGTCTTTAAAATCATTAAAGAACCTTTTCCTGGCCACCCACGGTGCAGCATGTGGCAAGTCCTTTGTCTCAGCGGTGCATTGTGGAAGTTGCACACGAGTCGGACAAACAAAAGAGACAGATAAACTGATTGACGGATGAACAGAGACAGCGGGAGTGAGATGGCGACACTGCACTTAATAGAGCGGGGGCCAGGGGTGGTGGGTGGTGGGTGGTGGTGCCTCTAGTGGGTTGTTGCAAGAACAAGACTGTTTGACATTTGCTGTCATTGTCAACGTCGTCGACAGTTGCTGCTCCTGCTCCTGCTGCTGCTATGCTACTTGTCCTGATGTTGCTGACCGCCTTCCGTTGCTTTGTGCAATTGCCCGTTGTTTACCCACTGCCTTTGACCAACCCCACACCAACCCACACCACCCACTCGGTAGCCCCACCTTCTTTTAGCCCACATTGCTGGTATATCCTAGGTGGCACCACCAAAAACCGCATACCAGAGTGGCTCGCAGGGTTCACCGCCGGTGGGCAACGCCTTTGTCTCTGCGGTCGAGCAAGTCTGCTTATTGGGATTGCAGAGTGACCAAGGTGCCAGCCACACTAGAAACACAAAGGCACTGAAAGAAAAATCTTAAAAGATTAAAGAAATATTCTTCAAAAAGAGAAGTAACTAGGGACGTTTAAAGTTTAAATAAAAGGTTTTCTTCTCTAGAGACTTTATTTTAATTTTTTTTAATTATTTTAATATTTTAATATTTTTTCGAAGTATATTTCTTCAAGTCCCCCTCCACTTTCACCCCCCTTTCACCACACACTCACTGGCTGGCTGGATGGCTGCACATTTCAATCGATTGTCACAACAAACAGAGCTAAGAGCAAGCAGTAAAAATATTTCATAAAATATTTACATTGTTGTGTGTGGCTGCCGCTCTCGGTTGCCGTTGCAGCTCTTTTCTTTTCTATTTTTCTCTTTTTTTTCTATTTATCCATTTGTTTATTTGCTGATCCTGTGTGCGGCAGTCCTTGTTTCTATCTCTTCTTCCAGTCCTGTGTCCTGTGTATCCTGTCGCTTGATTGATTTTGTATTAATTAAAGGAAACCAACGAGCAAGAATGCCAGCGGAATGCCCGAGTTAAGAGATTACTCGATTTTTCTTTTGATTTAATCAGAGTGAAAATTGGTGTCAATGGTTGTTGGATTCGAGACAGAATTCCTTTGTGTTGGAAACTATTTCTTAGAAAATGGGAAAAGAGCAATCACATTTTCAAGGAAATTTAATAGATGAAGCCATGGGAAATGGGGTTTGTTAAAGATTCTAAACTTTTCTAGTCTTTTAAATATTATTTCTAATATGGAAGTGAAAAAAAACAAGGCTGGGGGTTAGGAATATGCATTTTTAAGGAAATTTTAAGAATAATTGAGTTTTAATTGCGCTTTTTAAGATTTTAACCCAAAAAGTAGGCTACAAAAAATTAATAAAATATAAGGAATATAAGGACATTAAGAATAATAGGGTAAGGGTTCAAGAAAATTCAATTTAAGGATAATTTTTAGGACAAAAATGAGAAATACATTATTTTAAAGATTATAACCCAGTATCCAACCAAAAACAGTTTAGAAAAGTCTCTTCTCTATATGTATTATAGAAATACATATAATATTACACTACCTATTATTATCTACCTAAATATTATATTATCTATTTTCTTCTAATATACTAATTAATATCTCTTTAATTTTTTCTTGCAGATTTTCTTCAATAAAATACATAAGAACTCCTCGCAACGGAAACGGAAGTGACGCCATTGAGAGAAGCGGTACGGTAGGCTGGCTGGCCCAAGTGAGACAAAACGGTGAAATAATGCAAATTAAAACACAATAAAATGTAAAACACAAATGACAGCCGGGGGTGGATACAGGACTCAGTGGCGAAACAAATAGCGTAACGTTGCGAAGCGGTTGAAATGCCAAAAAATGCGCGTGGCGGCAACTTTTCCACTGAATTGATTTGAAGAAAGTAACAACAAAAAACAAAAAAAAAAGAAAGAAAATCAAGAATAACAAAAAAAAAAAAAAAAACAAAACAAAAAGAAAGTGGTTTTTGAGGCATACGGTACGTATACGCGATACGCAAATATAAACGGGGGCGTGGCAGTGGCAAGCGGCAGCGGAAATTTGCATAACTTTGCTGGCGTGGCATAAACATCAAAAACAAATTGCAAGTAACAAAAGAAACGGTCATAAAAAGGCGCCATCCTCGTAAAAATACAAAATACTACAAAAAAATTACAAAAAGTATATACAAAAGTATATATATATATAATAATATTGACCTCTCTTTCTGTTATAGTCCCGCTCCCGCTTGGTGAAATTAATTTATGCAACAGCGAGTGTCGCGCCCGAAAATCAAATAAGAGTAGAGAAGAAATAAAAGTAACCATAATCATAATAATTAAGACAGTCAGAGAAAAAAAACGCTATTAAAACGCTAGTAAAACGCTATTAAAACGCTAGTAAACCGCATCAAAAACGCGTTCAAAACGCTAGTGTTAGATTTTCAAAACAAATAAAGAAATATAAAAAAAATTCCTCACTTTAAAAAAAAACGCTAAGGAAACGCTCTCAAGCCGCTCCAACCTATACACTGAGAGAAAAAAACTGAAAAAAAAAGTTAATCCAGGGTTGCTTATAAATGTACCAGGACAGCGGCTGCAGCAGCAGTAGCAGTCGACGTGGCAGCAGTGCAGCAGCAACATCTGCAACAACTGCAGCACCAGCGGCAGCAACAACAACAACAACAACACCAGCAGCTGGAGCAACAACAACAGGAAGCAGCAGCGAGGAAGAAACACTCGAAACGCTTACAATTATAACAACAACAACAACAATAACAGAGACCGATTTAAATGCGGCTGCCACAGCGACAACAACAACAACAACAGTTATAGCAACAACAACAGCGGCAGCAACACTAGCGACACTTGCCACGGGCGGCGAAACGGCAACATTGGGCACTGCAACACCGGTGGCGCAGGCCATCAGCGACATCGAGGACTCGAGTCTGGTGGAGAGCGATAGCGAGGAGTGCCAGTATATAGAGATAGTCCAGGACGGTGCCACCACCAACAGTAGCAACAGTAATAGTCATAGTCATAGTAGCAGCGGCAATGCGGCACTGCAGCCGCAACAACAACAACTACAACAATTGCAACAACAAGTGCCACCGGCCGTTGCAGCGGATGTACGTTTGTTGCGAAAAATCGGCTATATTGCATCGCGAGTGCGGTGTCTGGCCAAGTTCTATGGTGACTTTCGGTTGGTAAATCCGTACAGTGCCCGACGGCAGCGTCGCCAGCTGCAGGAGATCCTGTTGCGTCACTCGATCTTTGATCCTGGCAAGGAGCACCAGCGTGCCATCGTTTTGGCAGCAGCAGCGGCAGCAATACTCCCCCCAGCAGCAGCAGCAGTAGTTGCAACATCAAAGGATTGCAGCCGAAGTCGAAGTCGAAGCAGCAGTAGCAGCATTGAGGCGGTAAGCAGTGAATTGGAGGAGCATCCGGAGCAGGAGCAACAGGAGGAGGATCGAGAGGACAACGATCTGGAGGTTGAGGTGGCCAGAAAGTGCTCGACTAGCTCCACAATAAGCGGTACTGGCAGTGTTTCCGCTTCCGTTTCAATATCCGCTTCCGGGTCGCAATCCTTTGCCGTGGCCAGCACATCGCCCATCACCCTGCTGGAGGAGCTGCTGATACAGTTCTACGAGGATCACGAGCAACAGCACTGCAGTAATCTCACTGTCATCCAGCAACAGTTCACCACCACCTGCAGCAACAATAATCTAAATAACAACAACAACAACAATAATAATAATAACAATAACAATTGCCAGAGCATACAGAACAACAACAACATGTCCACATCCTTGTCGAATATGTCAGTTGTGGGAGAACAGCAGCAACCAGCAGAGCAGCAACAGGTCTTGCCACAACAACCTGCCACATCTAGTAATGCTGGCGCAGTGACACTGGCAGCAGCAACAACACCACCGCCGCCACTCGCCACCGTTGCCACGTCAACAACACCTGCAACCACGGGCAGCACACACTTACAGCCCAGCCACTTCACGGACAGCAATCCCGACAATCCCCGACGCCGTCGCGCCAGCGATTGTTCCGCCGTTCAGGCCGCCCTCCAGAACCAACTCCATTGCATTACACTGAAAAATAATAACTGCACCAGCGGTGGTGGCGGTGGCGGCGGTGGCAAGTCAATGCCCTTTCATCGCGGCAGCTGCGGGGCTGCCGGCGAGCATCTGCTGGCAGCCAACTCGATCGCCAATCGCGCCACGATCATACTGAGCAAGTCCTGCAGCAATGTGGACGGCGATGCCATCAATCTGGGCCTGGGCCTCGGCCTGGCCGGTGGTGGTGGCAACAAGCTGAGAGCCAGTGCGGCAGATATCGAATCGAATGTGGCACTGAACGGTGCCAATAACGGAAATGGAAATGGCAACGGGAACGGGAACGGCAATGGTAACGGGAACGGAAATGCAAACAGGAATGCTAACGGAAACGGAAACGGGAACGGTAACAACGAGTACAGCATCCTGCAACTGAACAACACGATCATCCAGTGCCACTTCAACGACGATGACTTTCGTGCTCTGGTCAAGGACCTCAAGCGCAAAGTCGAGTACACGGAGCGCATGAATTGGCTATGTGAGTAGATCTTCCATTTTATAATCAATAACTAATACTAAAATACCAAATAGTACAGTCTATGTCACGGTCGCCATGAATAAGTTAAGAGGACTTTTAGGTTGTTCTTTAAATGAAAGTTAAACTTAATGAACTTATCATGGTTTATATTTTCTTAAATTAGTAAATTCAGGCCATAAATACCATATTAAAAATACTAATACCAAATACAGCATCTTAAATCACGGTCGCCATAAAAAAGTAAATGGAGATTGTATAATATTTAGGGAAATGGAAGAATATTTAAACTTTATATATAATTGAAACATCAAACTACATTCAGTATAAATTTTTTTAAATGCAAGAAATCATAAATACCAAACCCTAAAAAAATACTACATGGTATGTCACGGTCGCCACAAATGGGTTCTTGTGGACTACATAACTTAAAGAGTCTTTAAAAGTTCCCATTTTAAACGCAATTCCTTTAATTTGATTAAATCTTTAAATTAGAATGACTCGCCTCGGTAATTTTGATGGCATTTTTTGTCGCTTTTTGTTTATTTATTCGATTAGATGGCGGGTCATTCATTTAACGGGTATTCCCACAACGCCGACAACGACAATTACTCATTCGCCGGGAGATATTATTCAAGCACTTATTTGACCGAAATAATTGATGGTCCCGATCCCTTGCCGCTGACAAATGGTCAAGTGCTCTGCCATTTGCCATTTGCCATTTAGCATTTATCCACTCCCCGACACGACGAGTCCTTTTTTATTTTATTCTCTCCTTTTTTTTTTTTGTTGTCCTTCTGTTGTGTGTAATCGCCTCAAATGAGGCATGAGCAAATGCAACAATGGGGATGGAATCAAATGGACAAATTTAAATGCAACTACAATGGAATGGAAAAATCATTTCAAAACGCTGCACACAAAATGCCACGCCGGAAAAGTGCTGGTGAAAAAAAAATAGTAAATGGCGAATAGTGGGGAAAATCGGGGTCAAAATAGCAATAGAAATGGGGGATCGAGGCTGGGCAAATGTAAAATATTTAATTCAATGGCCAGACATGAAAATGAATATCTCATGAATGCAGGCGGGATTAGAATTTGATTGGTTTCCAAGTCCTCTTTTTTAGTAAGTCGGGACATACCTGATATTCCTGTTGGTATTAAATATGAAATATGGATGGTCATAAATATGAAGAGACTTGGTCTTGGAAGCTGTTCTACTGCATTCCCAAGCTCATCAAGAAGTTTCTGCTCCGGACTGAAGCACTGGACTGCTTTATTTTCATTCTTATTTTTTTCTGGCTGTTTCGATTGCTTCAACGCTTTTGACCTTTTACGGCAAATACGCCCTTTATGTGTAACCGTGTGTCCTGCAAAGTGCAATAAGGACACAAAAAAAAAGGAAACCAACAATGACTGCGACTGCGTTTGAAGGGGCACTGGGAAAAATATAAGATACGAGGCAAGAAATTTATTAAAACCCTTTGTTAAATCTAGAAATGGTTAATAAAATATCTATTTTTTATTTAAAACTTCCTCAAAAATGGATTAAAAACCTTAAAGTTTTCTTTTTGGGACTTCCCAGTCCTTCAAAAACGATCACAACTTTGTTGAATGGCATTAAAAGTTGTCTTTGTATCAACGCCACGTTTTATTCCGCTTCTTGCATTTTATTTTATTTTATTTATATTTTATTTGTATTTATTTTTTTGTGATTCTCACGCAGTACGAAGGTGCCTGCTTGCCTTTTGTCCTTGCAGCTCTCTTAGCATATAAGCTGGCTTTTCCTTCAGAGAAATGTGTCCTCCTTGTGGCATTTTTCCACACTGTCGCATCTGAAACATTTCAATTAAATGTGCACTGGCCTGCCGCTAACTTCTTTCCATTCAATTGGTTTCTAGGATTTTATTATTCTAGAGTCCAGCCCTTTACAGCACTACTCCCTAGGAGTGTTGATTAGAACTTTGCAACACTATTCCTTACCGTAAGCATTTTATTTTAATCCCTTGAAAGAGACCCTTATGGACCATATTTTATATTCTTATTTGCATAACCGCTACAAATTTATTGGCCTCGATGGCAGACCGTTTCTTTTCATTTGTCTGCCATTTGGCAACACTATTTATTGCCCCGCGTGCGTGCCCAACACTGTCAGTTCGGGAGACAAATGGCCTGACTTTGATTTTCGGGTGACAACTTTGGCCCGCAAAGTCTGGTTACCTTTCCCCCTTTCCCCCGTTCCCACGAATTTTTGGATCGTAAATCAAAACCATCAAGGCATCAGGACATCAGGACATCGGGACGCTGAAAAGGCCAAGAAACATAAATTCTGAGCTGAGCATTTGAGAAGGAGCCACAAAACGCAAAATGGTCATAAATTCAAAAACCTAAATGGCTTTGGCAATACCCCACCAACAACAACAACAACAACTCCTGTGGACAACAAAAGGGCAGCCCAGGAAGCAGGAACCAGGAACCGCCACCGAACATAATATAAATGACATATAACAAGACTCGGAAAAATATGTTCGAAATCTACTCGAGACAGTCAAACAACCAAAAAAAAAAATATATATATATATATATATAAAAAAATAAATAATAATAATAAAGAAAGCAAAAGCCAAAACGGCCAAAAGCCATATCAGACTCGAAAGGCACTTAAGGACAAGGGATAAGGCCAAAGAATGGAGGAGAAAGGGAAAGTCTGAAGGCCAGAAAGTCAGAAAGTCGGGAAAATTCTGGTGGGGAAAACTGAGAAGACATAAGACCGAAAAAGAGCAAGATGTGACAAAAGGCAAATGGTAAATGGGAATTGGACTGAGATGAAGGGCGGGTGGCAGCAGAAATCTAATAATAATAAAATACTTTATTGTTCAGTTAACAATTCAATTGTTTCACTTAACAAGAGCTGGTCCCCTCAGTCCACAAAAAAGCCGCAGCAGCCACAAAAAAAAGGAAAAACAAGCCAGATCTTCAAGAGGCATGTAGGCACTGAGAGAAATTAAATAAAAACCAAAAATAAAGAGAAGAGATTCTTTTAGTTTTCAAACAAAATAGTAGACTCTATCAACTCTAAAGCTTCTATTATATTTCTTATTTTTTATATATTTTTTCTCTCAGTGCCTTGGTATCAAAAATAAATTGCCACAAACGCACATTAAGTGATAAAGTGTTTGTCAAATCAAAAAATATATAAAGGCTCCGAGAGTCTGGGGCAGTGTTGATAAACACCTGGTTCAGGATATGAACCAGGACATGCCACCATGTCCTTCTCGGATGCTACACTTGGCTTGCATTTGACATTCAGAAAGGACTATTTTCGAAATGCCGAAGGTTTTTCATTTCAACTTTCATTACAAACATCCTCGTCGAGTGGCCTGAAGTGGAAAATATTTGCTTAGCCAGGACGAGGCAAAAGACGAAGAATTTAGTTCATTTCCAGGTGCCCAGGTTGCATTGCAGTCTATATAGGAGTCTATATAGTAGTCGGAGACTATCTGAATGTATATATTCTACTAATGAGCCGAGGTCGAGTTCTCAAGAAAATATGTTTGTGGCTTTCCAAGCTTTATATTCTTGTTGGTTGGGCTGTGTCCTATTAATTATAATAAGTTGCTTTTCCTCAAGTGCTTGTCGGGGGGAGAGGGCGGTGGGGGGACTGTAGTTATTGCCAAATTAAAGTGCCGGCAAGGAGATAACTTTTTTTTTTTGGCCAAGAAGGCAGTTGAGCACGAAAACTGTGTCGTGCAAGTCTCGAAAGTAGAGACTTTCTAAGGACTAGAGCTGCTTAAACTTAAATTTAAAAAATAAAAAAATATACATATATTATTAAGGCAGTTGTAGAGCAACCTATGAGAGGTTTAGAATATCCTGGAGCGAGTGCACTTCACCGTCAAAGTGTAGAACCCAGCATGGGGGCTGCTTGTGTAACCTGAAGCCCCGTCGAGCATCCCTGACGTATCCTGTTGCCTCGTCGCCTATCCTTCCATTATTAGCTAGCGGAAAATGTCAAAAATTATTCGCTCATCCTGCGTGGATCCTTTGAGAAATGAAAAACTAAAAGTGGGCGAGCATGGAACAAACAACAAAAGTTCTCTTCAACAAAACGGTATTCCAAACGGTAGAAAATGGTAGAAACAGGAAACGGAAACGACTACCGGAACTACAAGAGGATGCTGTTGTGGCATGCAACTTTAAGGCCATAAAAATAGTAATTATTTAAAGGTGGCAGGCTCCCAATGGCAGGCACTTGCCTTGATTGATCCTGTCTGACTTGTTGTCCATTAAGCGCATTATCTGCCACCCCAGGACCCCTTCAACTAGCGCCTCCAAAGGATATACAGGAGGCGAGAAAAAAAAAAAAGAAGGAATCGACGAAGGCGATGCTGACAGATTGACAGGCCAGGCGGATGGCGGATGAGATTATTGCCAGCCAGGATTAGGTGGCAACTAGCAAAGGAAGTTCAACTGTAAAGGAATAAATACATAGTACAGGCTGATGACAGGCAATATCATAATAGGACAAAGGATATACACCAGCCAGGACGATGGCAGGATGGCAATTGAGTTTTAAATGCCATCAATCAGGGCTGCCTTGATTGAATTCAATTCAATTCAAGATTAAATCACTGACATTGCGACTATTTTAAATATTTTCTAGACTGAAATATTTAATTATTTAACTTTTGGGCCAAAAATTCTATTCACGCAGAGATGTGTAATATTTATATTGAATATTTCAATTGGAATCAATGGAGAGAGCTGGAAAAAGGAAAAAGGAAGTGGAAGGTGGGTGGTAAATCACAGGATCTATCTAGGTTCTAGAGCCTCTCGTATTACATATCTATTTTTTGACCCACTTAAGTGCGAGCGTGTCAAATGAAAACGTGCTCATATGTATACCTCATATATATATATATATCAGCTTCCTTATGTGCTCGTATCCTCTATAAGCAATCATTTTAATGAGCAATAAAGTGTTGCATACTTAAGAGGGCAAACGT